GGAGAGGTGCAATGGGGTGGAGAGGAGGCTTACCGTGGTATTTGGAAAGAACCTTGTCATATCCAGCTGTTGTTTTTTCAGAATCTTCAAAAACTGAATCTAGGGCCTGTGGAGGGGCTGAAGTGGTAAGAGTGGCTGCCTAGCAACTGTGAGGCCCTGAGTTCAAGCCCCAGTGCTGCCAAAACCAAATCCAATCTAAGTATCTTGTTGCTTTCAGAAGCCTTCTTTATCATACTGCTCTTGTAACTGTCTTTTGGGAGAGTTCAGTAAGCCTGAGCTTTCTCTGATAGTGAAAGATTCAAAGTTGGTGTTTGTGTCCCCCCACCCAAAACTTTTATGTTGAAACCTAATCCCCAACATAAAGGGATTTGGAAGTATGACCTTTGTTTGAGACAAGGTCTAACTAGGTAGTCCAGGCTGGCCTCGAACTCCTGCTTCAGCCTCCTGGGTTACAGGCATGGACAACAGCTTGAGGTGGGAACTTTGGGAGGTAATTAGGTTATGAAAGCAGAGCCCTCATGAATAGGACTCAAGCTGTTAAGAGAAACCTTTCATCTCTTCCATCATGTGAGGTTGGAGTGGGACTTCACCAGACACCAGATCTGCCAGCACTGGCAGCTTGGGACTTCTCAGTCTGCAAGTGGTAAAAAAATCAACTTCTGTTTGAGCTACCCAGCCTATGCTATTATTACTATTATTGTTGGCATTACTAGAGTTTGAACTCAGGGCTTTGCACTTGCTAGGTAAGCGTCCTACCACTTGAGTCAAACTTCCAGCCCTCTATGGTACTATTTTTTAAAGCAGCCCAAACAGACCAAGATAAATAAGATCATCTATAACCAGTAATATTTTGAAGTATCTTTTGCTTTATTTTGGCCATACTGGGAATCCAACACAGAGCGCTGTACATGCTAGGCAAGGGCTCTACCACTGAGCCACATCTCCAGCCACTCCACCAGCCCTTTTTTGTGATGGATATTTTCGAGATAAGAGTATTGTGAACTATTTGCCCTGGCTGACTTCAAATGGCAATCCTCCTGATCTCTGCCTCCTGAGTAGCTAGGATTACAGGTGTGGGCCACCGGCACCTGGCTTTTCCCTCTTGGGGAAGCCCTGCCAAGCTGCCCAATCTGTATTTGAATGTCAATGTACCTGGCCAGTTGGTTTCTTTCTTTTTAGAACTGAGATCAGCTGTGTGAACAGCACAGATGCTTAGTGAAAGTCTCAAGAAGCTTCATACATGAGCGTCAATGAAGTTCAATGAACATGAATCACAGACCAGCTATGCGCCGGGCATTGTTCAGCACACTGGGATATGACAGTGGTTAAATGACATCTTTCCCCTCAAGGGATCAGAAATAGCAGAAGATACACAAGATGAGTTCTGATCACTTGTCAGTGGAGACACCAGGCAGTACCTCATGATAAGGATGGTCAAAGGGTGGGAGTCACTGACCTTCAGTCATGAAGGGCTCTATTCTTGGATTTTTTTGTTTGTCCTTGACTTGAACAAGGATAAGTCCTTGAATGTGGAGACCAAGAAGTTATAGGGGAATGTTCAAGTTGATCTGGTAGTATGGTTTGAGTATGACATGTCATGGACTCACATATTGGGGGGATTGGTTGCCAGCTGATCAGCTTTGGGGAAGTGATTGAATCCTGAGGGCCCTGACCTAATTGAAGGGATTAATCTCTTGGCATTATTAGGAGGTGGTGAAAATTAGGTGGGGCTTAGAGAAAGCAGGTCACTGGAGAATGCCCTTGCCCCTTTCTCCTCCGTCTCCTTCTAGCATAAGTTGAACAGCTTTGATCCACAACACCTATAATGGTTAATTACTCCTAGATTAGTAAAACGTGCCTCTGTGCTTTAATGTCCATATGCCATTTCCAAAGATGGTTAGATCATGAGGACTCTGAACTAATGAATGGATTAATCCTTTCGTGTTTTGATAATATGGTGGGATTACTGGGAGGTGGTAAAAGGTAGGAGGTGGAGCCTACCTGGAGAAAGCAGGTCACTGGGGGCATGTCCTTGGGGCTGTATCTTGTCCTGTTCCCTTCCTGTGTTCCTTTCTTTGCTTCTTGTCTGATATGTGAACTGCTCTACTTTGCCATGCCCTCTCTGCCAAGATGGACTGAGCCCTCTGAAACTATGAGCCAAAATAAATAATTCCTCCCTTCAATTGCTTTTCTTGGGAAATCTGGTCACAACAACAATTAAAATAATTAATACAACACCCTTGCAACATGGTGGACTGAAATCTCTGAAACCATGAGCCAAAATAAATTTTTCCTCCCTTAAGTTGTTTGCTCAGGCATCTTTTGTCACAGTGACAAAGTCTAATACATTTTGTATTTAGTTACAACACAGGATAGTGGCCTCCTAAGGTAGGGCTATCTTTACCTCAACAAAATGAAATTACCACTCAGCATTTACAGGTCTAATCTGTAGATCCCCAAACACAGGTTCTTAAACGTCCTGTTTAAAGGTGGTGGTGGTTCAGAGGCAGAAGGACCTTTGAATCCAGAATCCTTCCCTTGGTCACCAACAGGTCCCTGCTGCAGGGCTGGCTCCATGCTCCATCTTGTCTGTCCTCTCCCTTTCATTTGTTCTGGCTACGTGGGCCTCCTCACTGTTCTGTTCCTTAGTGAGCATGGTCCCATTCAGAGGCTTTACGCTTAACAGACCTGCTGCCAAGAAAGCCCACTTCATAGTCTGCATAGTTCATCCTTTTACTCAGGCCCCACACAAGTGCCACCTCTGTAGGAAGGACTCCCCTACCCTCCCACTCCATGCTCTTTCTTATTTTTCCTTCAATTCTAAACGACAGGTTATGTGCTTGTTAAGTTCGTCTTCCACAGTTAACCGTAAGCTTCTGAGACAGGGACTCTAGCTCTCTATTCTCAGCTCCCAGAAGTGGCCAGGACACAGCACGCTCATTACTCTGTACTCTTATTATGGTTTAAGACAATTATTTTACTACTCACTTTTTCCCTTTGAGTTATCGTCTATAAATTAGGTTTCTAGGTAACAAATCGGATGCTCAAGTGTTCTGAGATAAAAAAAACTTTAGCTTATCTTGAGGTGTCTCTGTGTTTGCGTCTGTCTGGAAAGCAAGTGACAAGTTAGAAGTGTGGAAGTCCAAAATCACCCCATATTCTTCTCTCAGGAATGAACAGTGATACTGGTCTCAGTGTGCAGAAGAGCACCAGGACACCTTTCTCACTCATTTCTTCAGGTCAATCACAGCCCCGGGTGTCTAAAGACCACTGATCCTTTGCTTGGCTCTCCCCTTAGGTTTCACCAGCTCTTTCCTTCTTCTCCCCAGAGGCCCACCCCACCTTGTCCAGCACTCAGCTGGCCCCTTGCACCAGAGAACTGGAGCCCCTCACATGAGGTCTGAGCAGTTTGCCTGCCTGCCCCCCCAACACCCAGGTGAGCTGGGTGTCATGCTTAAGCAAGGCTGGCTTATGGCCCCATACATTTACTGAACTAAATAGGGCAAGCCTATTTCCACCTTGTTTTAATAAAATCTAGGCCTTTCCTTTGAAGTTTTTGTTCTGTAGCAGTAGAAATGGTAATTTTCACGAAGTACAATGTCTACAGAAAGGGAACTTTTAAAATAATCTTATTTTCTATTGATACCTATAAATACAAAGCAGTACAAGAACTCTGAAAACACTTACATGTGTGTGTGTGTGTATGTCTTTTTGAAATACCTTTAAATAAATGCACTGGGCTGAGAACAACATAAATTTGGCTCTGATGAAAGCCCTTTAATTAGGTCAAGAAGGTTTTCTGTTATTGGGAGGATAAGTAAATGGCAACACTTTAAAAATTATTCAGTTTGTTAGTGGTCAAGAGTAATGAATCTGAAACACAACTGCAGAAAAATAATCCCGGAAACACTTAGTCAAACTATTTCCAAAGCCAAGAATGTGTAAAGACTGAACAAAAGATTTACAGACATCCCAACAAAAGCCAGGAGGACATACAGAGAGACGGAAAGTCTGGCAATACACAATGATGAAGCATGTGCTGTTTTCCATTTTAAGTTTGTAACCTGGTTTTAATCATTTTCCAGAAATGTTTCCAAATTAGGACCGAAAAAAATCTTTAAAGTACATTAACAAGCCTAAACTCTTACTTTATTCTGCTTGGGCTCAGACCTGACTTCACAGCTCAGCTGTGGTGGGCTATTCTCCCCGAGTAAGAACCATGCCATAAATGCTGTGTAGATTTAGTGATGAGCCTCTATGCCAAGCCCGTAAGATTTATTTTTATATGATGTGGAACTTTCTGCCGTTTTCATTCATGCCAAGTTGAAAAAAAAAGCCTATATACACCTAGTATGACCTTTAAATTTTCATTTGATGATGAAAAATAAGAAACATACACATTCTATAATGTATCAAAACTCTTGAAGAATTTATAGGGCTTACATGCCAAATTAATGATGGCAGTGACATCATTAAAAACAGAAACTGGGCAGGTCTTCTGCTAGGCACCGAGTAGATCAAAGACATCCCCTGATAGAGAGAACAATACCCGTGCGCAGCTGAAGACCTATATATATTAGCAACACAGGAAGATACGCCAGGACCCAAGTGACAAAGCAACTTAAGACTTTGGATACAAAGATAAAAAGGAAAATGGAGGCTTATAGAAAATGTCTCATTTCAAAGGATAACACTATAATCTCTCTGCATTAGTGTTATTAAAATGCCTATCTAGCTAAAACAGATTTGTTTCCTAAATGCTACAAGCAGGGACTATGGGTGCCATAAGCTAACCCCAGTACAGGCTGGAGAAATGGAAAAGAGGAGGAAGAATCAAAGGAAGATGGCACAGGGGACAGAGAGGGTGACAAGAGCTGCCACTGGAAGCAGCAGACACCTCTGCAGTCACCTATGAGTGACTGCAGCTGTGATTCCTGGCCCCACTCACTGAAGTCCACTGGAAAGGTCTTGTTTGATGGGGACAAAAAAGCATTATTTAAAAAAGGAAAATGCATAGTAAATTTTATTTATGTATTTATAAAAAGATTTACATCAATCAGGCCTTTAACATGTAAAATTAAATCTCTATCTGCAAAGTTAAATATATGGAAATACAAAAGCAGACTGAATTATCAAAAAAGAAACCTTTTTATTTTTCTCACTAAATACAATTAGTTTCCCTGATTGTAACCAATAAGCAGTGTCACCTAGAATACACGAAGGTCTGCACAGAGGTGAATGACCTCAGTATTTCTCTATGTATCAGGAACTCTGAACTTAGAAAAAGCAGAACTGACCTTGTTAAATTATTTGTTTTTAGAAACTCTTACCATTTGAAGGAAACGCGGAAGATTTAGGTAGTAGAGTACTTGTATAATAACTTAAAAAGTTAAAAGCTTATAGTGATAAAATCATCTCAGACACCCTTCTCAGCAGTTTCAGGCAATTGGCCTTTTTACAGATTCCAGGTCTAGAAAAAAACCACTCATTGAAACAGCCCGGCTCAGTTCATTTCCCATATGGTTGGTCATGGTGCATTTCTGGTGTATAAGTCAGTAGGACAATCATGACCCAGAGGTGAAGCAAAGCCTAAAGAAAGAGAAAACAATTCATGAATTAGCCAATAAGTCCATCTGTACCAAAGGCTCTCTCTGCAGTCACTGAGGACAGGAGGCATGTCTTGCCTGCATCCCTGAGGGGACACATTGAGCTGAGACACAGTAGGGGCTCAGCACATGATTACTGGATGAATAATGAAGGAACAAATGAATAAACAACTAAGGGAGCTCAGTAATAAAGAGTTGCTACAGCTACAGAATTCTCAGTTGAGAATAAAGTCCTGATCACCAACACATCCATAATATGCACGCATATGCACAGATAATGAGGTGACTGTGCAGAGTAGAAGGCACGATTAGAACTGCTAGACAGACAGGAAGTTGGCTGGAAAGGCTCTGTGGAACAGTTATGGGTGGTGTTCTGACAGTTTAGCAAGCTCTGGTGAAGAGAAGATGGGAAAAGGTCTTGACAGTAAGGTGTGAGGTGTCAGAGGCTAATTCAAGGGTCCAGTACGTGACCACAGTGATAAATTTCTTCTGATTATCTTAGAATAGTACTGAATTGACATGAAGTTCCATCATTCAGTCCACTGCTACTTTGTAGGGTACAATATGCAGCACCTCATGCTGACCAACAGTACTTGTGTCACTTATAGTCACCAGCACCTGGGACCTCAGCCCCTATAAGGCTATTCTGAATCTTTTCTGATGATTTCTTTTTCTTCTTCTCCTCCTCCTCCTCCTCCCTTGTTAAAAACTTTTTATTTGGTGGACTCTTCCCTCTAGTGGACCACAGAGAAACTTCTTTTTAAGTAAGCTTTTGTTTCTTAAGAAAACAGCCTATCTTAATTCAGCCCAACCACTCTGACACATCCCCACTCTAGCACAGTGAGTGGGTTTTTAGGCATAAGACATGTGAAACAGCATCCCAAACTACTGCAACTGTTTGGCACAGCTAAGACACCTGGAAGAAGATCAGTAAGCCTTGAGATCCTTTTAGAAAATAAAGCAAAACACATGAAAATAACTAAGGCAAATTGACATCAAGGTAAAAATGAAAGCAATCATTTTGTACTATATTTTTACCATTAGAGAAGCTTAAAAATAAGAGGTACTATTAAACTACAGTAAGTTTAATTTTATTTGTAGGAAAAGCATTTGAGCAATTTATATTTGAGACATAATGAATTAACTTACAAACTGCTATAAGAAAAGGTTATCAAAAATGAGTTCTATTCTCTTTCTAAATTGATTGCTAAAATGTCAGTTAAGAATAGCAGTTTAAAAACCAGTTAAAAAATCAAGTGCAGCACTGATTTTTGAAAGAAGTTTCTTACCATATATATAATTACAAACACTCGTGCTATGGGGTATCTTCGGAGAAAAATCCCCAGACGAATACTGTGCACATAGGTGGGGAAGAGAGAGAGAAGAGAATTACACTCAAAACAAATCTTCCTTTGTTAATATCTAATGTTTTAAACAATATCACATTGAAACTATTTACATGATCACAACAGAGGAATTATTTTAATAGTAGATTGTAAAGGAGTACTTCAAATAACCATACATAAACATCACAGTAAAACAAACACTTTTATCATTACTTGGGAATCGATATCAAACTTTAGCACTAGCGATTTCTTTTATTCTACAATCATAATCATAAGAGGCAAACTTAGTCCTTCTCTAAATAATTTTTCTTTTAGAAATGAAAGAAGTTACAAAAGATGAGGTGAGTCAAACACTAGGAAAAAAACAAAATAAAACAACCAAATCTGTTTGGTACTAACTTGCAAACAGCTCATCTGGAAGTTTGTGCATAGAGACTTGCTTCAAATAGGACAGTTATAGGAACTGAAGCAAACACTTGGGAAAATCAGTGTGGATAGCATGATGTCCACACTTCAGTACCCACACCTTTTCAACTATTTCCCCATCGAGGCAGGCAAGGGTATAAGCAAAAATACCTTTCTGCTTTTCTTCTTGCCATTAGTACAATATACCACACACATTCTCTAAAAACTGGGTAGGGTGAATAGTGAAAGCTGAAATACGTGTGTTTCACTTGGAGGTAATGACCATGGAATCATAGTCCTGTGGCTTCAGGAATCTTAACATACCATTTTCCTCATTTTAAATACCACATTTCTATTCTGACATAGAAAGGTATGAAAACACTACCCATATATTATGCAACAATTCATTAAAATTGCTTAATTACAAACATAAAGCAGATTATCTAGACATGAACTCTATCAAGGCTTATGTAGCCAGACATGGTGCCATATGCTGCAATACAGTGCAAGGCCCCAAATTTCAATCTCAGTATTGTGGGGGGAAAAAGGTTATATGTAAACTGCTGAAATATTTTCTTAATAAGGTGAATGTATGCTAGTATGCTTGCCCGTAAATCTAAGTAACATTAATACTATTATTTATGTGAGGTATAAATATTAAAATGAGTGCCAGCAAGATGAAATCTTGCTGTGTTGTCCAGACTGGTCTTAAACTCCTGAGCCTCAAGAGATCCTCCTGCCCCAGTCTCCTAAGTGCTGGGATTACAGTTTCAATGAAACTTAAGGAGAGCTTTTTAAGTTTATTGTAGAAATAAGAGCAAGGGTCAGGGTTAATCGTCTGCAATACAATGTGAGCACTGGTAGACCTCCTGAAACCATTTCATGGCACTGAAATATCACAAAAGGAGTAAGTTAAATGTCACTTTAAATATCAGCTCTACCCAACAGGACTCACTGTGATTATACCCACAGGAAGCTGTTATAAAAATAGTTGATGGCCCATCACTCATCCTGACTGGCATTGCTTACCTAAATTGGTCAATGGAACTAGCAGCTTTGCGAACTTTTCCATACATTCCTGCCAGATTAGTTTCTGTGTCATTAAAAAGAACAGGAACATTTCGTAGACGTGTGCCTATTTAAGTAAGAAAGTAGATAAATACACTGACACCAAATCAACTTTCTAAGAAAATGAGAAGTGGAAATATGTTACATGTAAAAGGAATTCTCAAGATCAACTTTCTAAGCATTTACACTGAACACAGATGAAACCATAAAGAAAAAATAAATTTGATTATAGAAAACATTTAAATTTCCACATCCACAAAAACAAAACATTTACAAATTAAAAAAACTATCTTAGCAAAACTTAATGAATTTATAAATACCCAGTGTTGGTGAGTCAACGAGTATTTATTCCTGTGCTGGCAGGAGTGAGACCACAGGGTTTTACAGAGCTGAGAACTCTACCCCTAAAGCTGAATTTCGCCCCTGGTTTCCCCACCCTAGACCCATCCAATTGCTTATATACTGCCTTCCGCATGTCCCATTGACACTTCAAACTCAGCATGTCCAATATTACAATTCTGATTTCTCACTCTTGCTGGAGCCTCCTATTGGTATTTCTTGTACTAGTACATGACAACTCATCTTTCCATTTGCTCAGGCCAAAATCTTTCTCTTTTTTCTTAAATTTCACATCCTATCTGCCAGCAAATTCTGTTGGCTCACCTTTAAAATAAGTCCTCACTCCACCCCCATTACTCCACTTTGATTGAAACCATCTCTCACATGGAGGATCAAAGCAACAGCTGTTGCTCCCTCTCCCTGCCTTTGCTCTTAGTCCTCTGCAGTCTATTCCTCTTCTCTTTGCAGTGCAGGAGATTAAACCCAGACCTCCTGCATGCTATGCAAGCACTCTACCACTGAACCACATCCCAAGACTAAATCTATTTGACACAGCAGCCTGAGGCATACTGAAAAATAGAAAGTCAGATCAGTCACCCCTCTCAAGACCTTTGGTGGCTTCTCTTCCTACCTTATTCAGAGTAGAAGTCTTTATACAGACCTGCACAACCTTCTCTAAGCTCTCTGAATTCATCTTACACTATTGTTGGCCTCACTCAGTCCCCTCCAGCTGCACTGGCCTCCTTGCTATTCCTGAAACATCCAGGAACATGTCTGCCTCAGGGCCTTTGCACTTGTTCTCCTTACTGCCTGGAACACTTTTCTTCTAGGCTTCCTATCACTTCTTTATCTCCCTTGGAACTCTAATAAAGTGCCATTTCTCAATGAGGTCTTCCTTGAGCACTCTACTTAAATTACAATTCCATCTCTACACCTGGCATCTTCTATCTCTTTAAATATTTAATTTTTAAGAGAATTTTAAAGTGAAAGAACTGAGAGATTTGCTAATTGACTACTTATACATTTTATAACGTTCTAAGATTAAAAATCTGACCTGCTGGTTTTTAGTCTAAAACATTCTTCTTAAGTATGCAATTTGAAAATCTATCAAAATGATAGAGCAAGAATAAAAATGTGAATTATATATTAGTTTTAATACTCATAATTACTTAAAACAAATTTGCTCCAAGTTTCCTGAAAACTCCTTTCTACTGAGTTATCTACCGAGTCACTGTCCAGTGTCTTATACATTTCAATATGATTAGCAATACTCAGGTCTCCTTTCTCCAAGTCCAACACCTGGGAGGGGTATTAATCAGTGCAATACCCAGCTTACTAATGATTTTCTAATGGCACATCAGGAGAAAATTGGGCTCTTCCCTCCATCAAGTTTCTTTTCACATAAAAATGGTCTTTCTGTATTTTTCAAAATTATGTTTCATTGCCACAATCTTTTCTGGGTTACCTTCACCACTGTCAATTCCAGACATATTAATGGAGGATCCATTGCTAGCATTTGCGGAGGCAGAGTGCATCTGCTGCTCGAGTCGCTCCAGCTGGAAGACCAGGGAGTTCTTTTCTGTGCTGAGATTCTCAAGCATGGTCTGTTTCTGGATGAGGGTCTCTGTCAGCTGATGGAGTCGACTTTCTAGCTCAGACTGACTGCTGTTGCTTAAAGTTTTATTGGTAAGCTAAAAAACAAAGCATTCATAAAATTATTACATAAAAGGAAAGTCATACAATATAGCAATCACACTACTACATTTTCCAGGTAAACTGGAAACTGTGGCATTAATTGTTGTCTTCTAAAACTCTAATGATTCTTTCAATGCCTACAGAAGTAATTTTAATTTCAGTTTGAAGTCAGGACTTTGTACTGCAAACCAGGTGCTCTGCTACTTGAGCCACAACTCCAATTCAGAAGTAAATCTTAAACTCTATCAGTGGGCCACAAACCAGTACTTTAAAAATGTAATAGGGGCTGGTGGAGTGGCTCAGGTGGTAGAGTGCCTTACTTAGCAAGTGTGAGGTCCTGAGTTCAAACCCCCAGGTACCATCAAAAAAAAGAACAGAATGGGTTGTTTTCTGACATTCGCATAACACGCAGTATGTGAGAGTATTGTTCTGTGTAACTTCTGTTTCGTTTTTTTTTTTTTTTACTTGCATGCTGGGGATGGAACCTAGGGCCTTACACATGCCAGGCAAGTGCTCTACTACCAAACTACATCCCCAGCCCTCTGTTTTGGTTCTGTATGAATAAATGCACATGAGTACTGAGACATTATGTAAACTATTTCATACTGCAGTATCATAGTAAAAATATTTGAAAGCACTGGTTTATAGTGCTTTCACTGTGTTACATAGTAAAAATATCTGAAAGTACTTCAACCTTTTCAACTGGGTTTCCAAAGTCTCCATAATTCAACAGCTGTGGTGCAGTGCAAAGATCATACTTGGGTTTTCACCTCTGCTCTGCAATTTCCGAGCCATCTAAATTCAAATGAATATTCAAAAGAATTTGTTTTTGCCTATTCCAGAATTTCTTTATAAACGGATCATACGACATGACTACTTGGTGTAAGCATAAAAAAAAGATTGATTCGAGCTTTTCTATCAATAGTTTGTGTTTTGATTTTTGTTTATCAAGGTGGTTTGTTTCCATTTTTGGTTACTTATGAATAAACATAAATGCTCATCTCTGACTTTCTGTAGGCACATACCTTCCTTTCTGATGAGTAAATATCTAGGTCGCAGGTCAGATGGATGTTCACCTTATTGGAAAGAGCTAGTTTTCACAGTGCTCTGAGTGGCTATGCGCAGTATACAAGAGTTCCAGCTGTGTCACATTCTCACTGATACTGGGTATCACCAAGCTTTTTAATCTTATCCATCCTAGCAGGTGTGGAGCCAGGTATCTTACTGGTGATTCTAAACACCTATTCATGTGCTTACCTGAGCATATTTGTGTGTGTGTGTCTGTAGTACTAGGGTTTGAACTCAGGGCTTCACGCTTGCTAGGCAAGCGTTGGTTATACCCACACCTTTTTCTGCTTTAGTCATTAGGTAGGGTGTGGTGTTTGTGCCCAGGGCCTGCCTCAAGACCACCATAATTCTCCTACCTATGGCTTCCCATTTGGCTGGAATCATAGCATGGTATACAGCACCATGCCCCGTTTATTGATTGAGATGGGGTCTCACTACTCTTTGACTAGGCTGTCCTTGAACCATGATCCTCCCAATCTTAGCCTCCAGAGTAGCTAAGATTATAGGCATGAGCCACTGTGCCTAGCTTCATATTATTTCTTTTGTGAACGTGTATTCAAGTCTTTGTGTCCATTAAAAGCAAAAAGTGTTGTGAATTATTTTATTATTAATAGGAATTCTTATCCTTGTTACCAGTCTTTCTGTCAGATATATATATTATAGGGCTGGGCATTGTGGCTCCTGCCTATAATCCCATCCGAGGTAAGAGCATTTTGAGTTCAAAGTCATTCTGGGCTGCATAGCAAGACCCTGAGTCACACACACGTGAACACACACACACATATACATATTATAGATCTCCTCTCCCAGTCTGTGGTCTACCTTATTTCATTTTGTACTAAGGTTTTAATTTTGTTACTGTTTTTTGCAGTACTGACCCTATGCATGCTAGGCAAGTGTTCTACTATGTGAGCTATGCCTTATCCCCCAGGTCTTTTCATGAGCAGAAAATTTTAATTTTGATGAATTATAATTTATCATTTTTCTTCTATGGTTGGTGCTTTGTGTGTTCTAAGAAATGTCTTCCTCTAAACTGCAAAAGGAGTATCTGACGCATTCTCCTAGGCTTTATAGCTTAGGCCCAACTTCATCACAAATTTAAAAATTTTTGTTAACTTTAGAAGTCTAATTAGGGGATAGTAATTATGGTTTACTTTCCTATGTTTTTCCTATTCCCGTACAATAATTTTTAAGGAATGAGAAACTATTAACTGGCAACTTAATTTTTTTTAATCAACATATTGCTCTCCCAGGTGGCCCAAAAGTAGTTAAGATAAGTAAAAGAAGCATTTTGTAATTCACAAAGAGTAAGTCTTAGCTTCTTTGTGGAGTTTTCCTGAAATGTATTAAGATGCTAATTTCTTTTAAAATTATACAAATCAACTTCCTTCCATGAGACAAAGGTTTTTTTCTAATTAGATGAAAAATCTTCAAGTGAAATCCTTGTATGGTTAATCCATCCTTTTATGGTTAATACTTGATTAACAAATATAGCAGAAAGTTGGGGTGTGGGTCAGTGGTAGAGCACATGCTTAGCAGGCTCCAGGCCCTAGGGTGAATCCCCAACAATTAAATCAAAAGCCATCACAAAAACTGCACAGTATTTTAGACTCAGTATTTAGTAGGTACAGAAATGTTTCTCTAAAGATTAAACTAGGCAGTGATTTTTGCTCCTTCTTTTTCATTTTTTTGATCTTTTGCTAGCAAGTCATGTACCATTTTGTAAGCATTTCAAAAATGCAGGCAAGGGAAGTAAGGACTATTAAACTAACTCTTCCTGCTCATGCCTGTAATCTTAGCTATTTGGGAGATTGAGGTGAGATGGACTGCAATTTGGGTGGGGGTGTGGGGATAGCAAGTAGTTTGCAAGACCCCATCTCCAAAACAACTAGACTAAAATGGACTGCTTTGCAAGTGAGAAGCCCTGAGTTCAAACCCAGTTCCACCAAAAAAACAAACAAAAAAAGATTTAAATTATTTGACTTTTTAGGTTCAAATTAGGCCATTAATGAATAATTAGTAAATCTTTATGTGAATAATTTAAATGATTAATGAGTCTATTATAAATTAAATCATCGAAACATAAAGGAAGAAAAGGGCAATGTATAATTGCAGGATAAGTGAATGCAGTATTCTATTGGTTAATGATTAAGGTTTTGGTAAATCTGGATGGAAGGCACATGGTATCATTACCTTCCTATAATTTTTATATTTTTAGAGTTAGCAAAAAGGTCTTGGTAGCTTTATGGGCATCCTATCAATCATCAATAGGAAGATTCATCACTAGCTTTTTCTTAGGAAAAAGAAACCACAATTATGGCACTGACATCCAGCATAACCACACTGAAGTTAGAAGCTATGAGATTTGGGGAATGACTGGCTTTAAGATACATCTAAAATGAAGCAAGCCAGAGCATATAGCAAACACAGACTCACGTGGCAGTGGATTAAAATTCTACACTAGCTTGAAAATAACTTACAAGAGAACTCAGATGAAAACATAGAAGAGAAGATCTTGCTGTAACTGTAAGAGATGCTCAATCTGCTTTTGCTAAAAAGCAGTGACTCCTTGCTTGGGCCCACAAGTTAACTAAAAGTAGGAAAAACTTGACATTCCTGCCTCCATTTTGTATATGTCTTTGCTGTAAGTCATTCTCTCTGCAGTCACTTTGCAATCACCTTGGATTCCAGAAAGGACAGAACTTATAACATCTTTATGACAACAAACCAGAGCCACCTGGAACTGCCACCATCCCAGTGAGGACAGTTCACATCCTGAGCCAGAGTAACCTCTCAAAACAGGAACCAGATTACTCCCTCCAGGTGGTAACTTTCCAGAACTGGACCAGACAACCATACCACCTGCCTGACCAAGAATGCCAGCTCTGCCAGTCATGAGACCACCAGACCACACCTGTGACTGGTACTGCTTAACTATAAAAACCTTTGTCCCCTGCCCTAGTTCTTTGTCTAAAACCTATAGCTCATGTCTGTACCTCGAAGATGACTAAAGATGAGCTGAGTGCTCATTCTGCCTCTTCTCACGGCATGTCCCAATCTGTGTAATAAACCTTCACTGCCTTCACCATGCCTCTTTATTTGGCATTTGGGGCAGGCAGCCAGACCTGGCATATGGAATCTCAGGAGTTTGGGCCTTGGGTTCAAAACTCCAGTTTCATAATCCTTTGAAGAAAACAAAGCTTGGGCTGGAAGGGTGGCTCAAGTGGTAAAACACTTGCTAAGCATGGACAATGTCCTGGGTTCAATCCCCAGTACGGGGGGTGTACATAAAATTAGTATGTGTTATTAAAAAATAAAATGAAGCTTCACTAGGACATCTTTTTCAAGTTGTGAATGCTGATTCTTACCTGGTTCCTGAGTTTTTGAATTTCTTCCTCTCGATCTTTAATTCTGCTTTGCAATGTGTTCTTTGTTCGATATAGATCATCTTCTATATAGTGGAATTCCTACAAAGGGAAATGTGAATAAATGAAAGCTAAGTCAGTGTTCCCTGTCTCATTTCTAGCACCTCAAGCAGTGCCTGACTAACACTACACTTGGTCCATTGAATGAATAAATAGTAGATTTGGATAGGACTGATGAGATGGTTATACTTCAGCAAACGTAAACACAGGCCCAGAAATATCTGTAAGATAGAACACCAGAAAACACAGAAAATACTTTTATCTTACAGCAATGACAAAGAATGGGTCATTCCTTCATGAACCCTGAGGTACATAAAAATATTGTAACAAACTGGAGAAAATATTCATTATTTATACGATAAAAATTGAATTGTTAGCAACATGATGTTCATAAAAATAGATTTACAAAATTTATTTATCAGATAAAATAAATTTAAATAAATATATAAATAAGTAAATAAACCCCATCAAACACACCAGAAGCCATATTAGAAATATGGGCAAAGTACATGAGAAAACAAAGAAAAATAATAAGAGTTCAATAAGGTGGTGGGGTAAAAAGAAATATGTTAAAAATAATCAATCTTAGCTGGGCGCTGGTGGCTTACACCTGTCATCCTAGCTACTTAGGTGGCAGAAATCAGGAGGTTCGATGCTAGCCCTGGGCAAATAGTTCGAAAGACCCTTTCTTGAAAATATCCAACATGAAAAAGGCTGCCAGAGTGGCTCCAGTGGTAGAGCAACTGCCTAGCAAGCATGAAACCCTGAGGTCAAACCCCAGTATCACCAAAAAAGGAAAATAAAAATCTTTATCTAAAGAACTTAGAAGATATAAATGGGAAAAAGTTCTCAATAGAGGTTAGCAACAAAAAAGGAATAAACTTAATAGATGAAAATTTTAATATAAAAATACTTTAAAGCACTTCAAAAGAATATAAAGATATAATGGAACAAATAAAAAGTGATGCCATGTTCTTGGCTTTTTGTTTTTATTTTGAGATAAGGCGTCACTAGCTGGGCACTGGTGGCTCATGCCTGTAATTCTAGCTACCCAGGAGGCCAGAGATCAGGAGGATCGTGGTTCGAAGTCAGCCCAGGCAAATAGTTCACGACACCCATCACAAAAAAGGGCTGGTAGAGTGGCTCAAGGTGTAGGCCCTGAGTTCAAACTCCAGTGCTGCAAAAAAGAAAAAAAAAAAAAAAAAAAAAGATAGGGTGTCACTAGTCACTATCTGACCGAAGCCTGTCTCAAACTTAAGATCCTTCTACCTTAGCTTCCCAAATGCTGGGATTATAGGCATGTGCCACCATGTCCAGTGACACCCTGTTATTGGTTAGGAAGAAAATATCATAAAGATATCAATTCTCCCCAGGTTAATTAATAAATTCGAAATAATCCCAATAAAAAAGTTTTGTCTTTTTATTTTTTTAATTTAAACTATATACAGAGTTCATAAGGGAAACTGCAAGAAAGAACAGCCAGGAAAACTATGAAAAGGAGAACAAGTTTTAAAGATATCAGGAAATAAAATCTGTGAAAGAAAAGCAATGTATTACTGGTATATAAATAGACAAATTAAACAATGGAAAAGAATAAAAGCTCAGAAACAAATGTAGATACCTTGAGAATTTTAGGACATGATAAAGTTGGTATCTCAAATCAGTAAAGAAAAATAAACTTTAAAAAATGGTACAAGGACAGCTAAGTAGTCATATGGAAGAAAATAAAGTTGGATCCATACTTCACCTCACCTATCAGAATTAAGTTCCTAGTAGATCAAGATTTATTTGCAAAATGAAGTCATTAAAGTACTGAAAGAAACCTACATAGGTGAATTTCTTTATAATTTCAGAAAATGCACCATGACTGAAAATCTAGAAGCCTTGGAAGAAAAAAAAAATGATAAAGGTGAGGACAAAAACCAAATTTCTGCATGGCACCAAACAAAATAAAAGCCATATGGAAACTAAGACAATTGACAAACTAGGAATTCATATCACAGACAAAAGACTCATCTCCTTAATATACAGAGATCCTACAAAATGATTTTTTAGAAAGACCTATATACAATAATAAAACAGTTCACAGAAAAGTAGAAATGGCTCCTCAACACTATGAAAAGTTGTCTAAGCTTTAATCATAGAGAAACAGAAATTTAAATTGCTCTAAGATACCATTTTTTCACACTGCAGATTGGCAAAACTCAAACTTTTCATAACACTATGCTTCCCACTGCTGGGGGAAAAAACTCTCACACTGTTGGTGGATTACAAATGGGCAGGGCACAAGCTTTATGGGTAATAATTTAGCAAAGTCTGTCAAAGACATGACACAATGGCATTCCTAGTGACAAACATGGAAAAATGTTCATGTTCACTAGTAATCAAAGAAATGTAAGTCAGGCAATAAGTTAGCTCATATAACCTATTAATAAAACAAATAAACTTTTAACAACATATGTAGGCAAGGATGCAAAGAGGAATTTTATCATGATAAACAAATTGATACAAACTCCTTCTGAAAAGCAACTGGCAAAATGTAAGCCTTAAAGGTGAATAGCGTTTTGGTTTGGTTTGGTTTTTTTGGTGGGGCTGGCGTTTGAACTCAGGGCTTCTCACTTGCAAAGCAGGCATTCTACTGCTCGAGCCATGTACCAGCCCAAGATGTAAAGCTTTTGATCTAGCAATCTTCCTAGAAATGTAATTAATTGAAAGAATCAAAGACTTAAAGATGTTTATACCAATCATAGCAAAAAGTTTAGAAAACAAAAACAGAAACACAACTAAACAAATGACAGTCCATCCCTATTGTGTAATATTATATAGCCGTTAAAATCATGTTTCTGGGGTTGGAGGCATGGCTCAAGCAGTAGAGCTCATACCTAGCAGGTGAGAAGCCCCGACTTCAAACAAATTTTAATACTCCACTGAGATGTGGGGCATATGTTTCTGAAAGGTAGGGAAAAGATTTATAAATCATCTGATGGGAGAAAAAGTCATACACAATCAACGGATAATTCAGGTTGCAGTCTCTTATGTTTTTTCTTTTTATATTATCAGAAATATATGAAAATCGGCTTTATGTAGGTTTAATTTACACACAATAAAATCCACCAGTTTTAAGTATAAAGTCATATGTGTTTGATATTTGCTGTCAATTATCACAGTCATGATGGAGAACTTCCATCACCTCAAGAAGTTCTCTTATGCCCTCTGCATTCAACCCTTGCTGGAAATATTCCCTGGCTCCTGATAACCACTGATCTGCTTAATATTACTTTGGTTTTATCTTTTATATCTTTTTGGTTTTATCTAGAATGTCTATAAACAAACATTACAGTGTGTAATATTTTGCCTCCGGTTGGCTTCTTTTACTTAGCATATGTTTCTGAGATTCCTCCATGTGTAGCTTCTATCAACAGTCCATTCCTTTTATTTGCTGAGTAGTTTTTCATTGCATGGATATACCCTAATTTGTTTATTACTCTTGAAGGGTATTTAGGTTCTTTCTAGTTTTCAGTCTTTCTAAACATTCATAGAAATGAATATCTAAGCACAAATCTTTATGTGGCCATGTTTTCATTTTTCTTTGGTAGATACAGAAGAACACAAGTGCTGGTTCATATGGTAAATGCACATCTAACCTAAAGGAAAAACTTGCATTATTTTCAAATACACAATAGCTGTACCATTTTGTATTTCCACAGCAATGAGAGAGAGTCCCAATCTTCCCACATCCTTGCCAATACTGCAGCTGTCAGTCTTTACAAGAAGCTGCTCTAGTGGGTGTGTAGAGGTATCTCATTGTGGTTTCAATTCACATTTCCCTAATGATTAATAACACTGAGCAGTTTTCATATGCTTAAATGTATCAGGCAATATTTTGGATCTGTTCTGTTTAGCATTAGTAAGAGCTAGACTCACTCACAAGTACTCTACTGCACTGTTAGCCTGTACAATGCATGCAGTCAGGTTGGAATGTTAACAGCAGAACACATGCTGACCTAAAACTACACCCAAAAAACTAAGGTATGATGCAGAACAGGGAGGAGCCATCAGCTACCATGCACTTCCAAAAGCATTATGCTCATCTGTGAGAAAGGAGTGGGGGCAGGACAGTAGTAGGAGAGGTATGCAGAAGCGAAGGTGACAAGGAATCACACTGCTAGAGATGACTTTAGACATTTAGCTTAATCTGCCCATTTTACAGAATGAAATAATGGAGATACATGAGAAAAGAGACAGACAGGAATTAGGGTAGGACAATTTACTAGGCACACCCCCTGGATATGTTTCTTTCTCGCTCTAGGCTAGCACAAAACTGAAAGCTGACATTACTTAAATTAATAAAGAGCACATTTCATCCTAAGATTAAAAGCATTACATCTAAAACATGTGATTACTAAATTAAGTCCCCTCTAGCTACATTCAGCTCATTTTTTTCTACTTCACTACTGCATTTACAAAAAGTCACTGGGAAAAAAAAAAGAGTACAGTAAAACCATCTGCCATTAATAAAAAGTGAAAATTATTTTAACTATCAAGCACATCAAATTGTTGCTTTTTAATATAAAACAGCTCTTTGAATAAATTAAAATGCAGTTTCTGAAAGGACAGCTAATGTTAAATTAAATTATCTAAAACAGCCTATGACATACCCTGCAGGTTGCTGCATGGGGAGTTTTTCTTTTACTACTTAGGAAATGAATTTTAAGTACTACTTTCATAATAAACCCTAATGAAAAAAAATCCTTAAAGAATGAAAATACACATGAAAAAATAAAAGCAAAAAAAAGTTTGAATACACAAAGCTGGAAATGTTCTAACTGATACACCCAGAATCAAGTGAAGAGAATAGTAGTGATTTTACCATATGAAATAAGACAATATATACTAAATGCCGATAACAATGTAGCAACTCAGCACATTAGATATTAACATTAGAATAGAATCTTATTCTGAAAATGAGGGTATAAACATATTCAATATTAACTGTCTTAATATGGAAACTATTATATAAGTATATCAATGTGAATAATGAAATATAATTTTAAATGTGATTTTTAAGAATAGCATTTCTTCTCAAACAGAAAGAACAAATAAATGGCACTAACATTGTATTTCTGTCAAATTATACTATTCCTAGAAAGTACAAATATAATAAACTCTGAAAAATCAATGAGTTAGTATGTTTTTAAGTTTTCTATATACATATACCTTGACAAGAAGATATAATATAGACATAGGTAGTAGAAAAAATTCTGGGCTCTGAAACAGGAATACTGGGTTTTATTCTATTCTCTAATTAGTTTTACAATATTAGGCAAGTCTTATCACCATTTTGTGCCTCTACTTTTCATCTGTTAAGCAAAAAACAAAGAGTGTAAGGCCCCTGCTCTAAGCTTTCCTGGGAGGACTCTCATGTGACTGCTAGAGGATGGGTTCTTTCATCTCAAACACTTACCTGCTTCATTCGGTCCAATTCTGTTTCTAGTTCCTGTTTCGATACTTTCTGCCCAGCTATCTGGTCTTGCAGATCTTGTAATTGTTCTCTTGCTGACTCAGCTTCACTAACCTGCTGAGCCTCCATATCCTAAAAAGAACAGCTTTACATGTGAAAGCAGTAACCAACCATTCAGCTTAACATACTGAACAACCATCCCCTATCATGAACTGCACTCAGCAAGCCCCAGATGGTAACAGATGGATGAGACTGGTTTCAGCCCATAAGAAGCATATTACCCATCACCTTCACTAGGTTATATAGTTAACAGTGAGCAGAATGAACAGGGTGCTGCAGCTGCCCAACACACAAGCCACCAGGCTTCATGAGTGTAAGTAGACAGTAGCTCTCAAAGACTTATGTCTCTGTTAAAAAATTAACAATTTCACAAAGAACAGAAGTATAACTCCAAAAAAGAACTTCAGTCTATTAGCTCCCTGTTATTGCAGCTTATAATTAGTGTGTGTAATCAATAGACTGAAAGAATACAGCTGTTCTCTGACATAACCTGAGGCTAGCATTTTAGCTTTATTACTATTATCTGACTTTACATCTTCCCATCTACCTTACTCTTTCTTCTTCAAACTCAAAAAACACTTTCTAGATTTCCTGTCAAATCTACCAGTGCAAAGAACGTAACTCTGGGTTTCTATATTTTCCCTAATGGGTTAAGCATAGGTACTTCATATACTACTACAGAAGGTTAAAATCAGTACCTTAATTTTGCGTGTTACCTTTTAGTACATTCTATTTTATACTCATCTCTACAAACTCTTGAACTTTACATACAGTTTTAAAGAACTGAGATTAACAATATTTCCAGATAATCATAATGCAAGTCTCTAAACTCACACAACTTTGTTGATTTAGAGGAAAAAAGCAGTAATTATAATCATTTTCCCTATCTGGAGTTTTCATGGTTAACAGAAGGTAAAGTAACTGTCATCAATTGAACTAAATCAGACAAATTCTTGAGCAGTAGGGAGAATACACACTGGTTAAGCACGTATGTTCGGAATTAGAGTTCTAATCTTGGTTCTGATGGCAAGTTACTGTCCTTCTTGTGTCTAAACTTCTTCAATTACAAAAGGAGAATAACATAATCTCCCTCACAGGGTTATGGTAAGGAACAAATGTGAGGACATAAGTCTAGTGTTTGGTGGGATCCTGACATTTAAGTGCTTAGTAAATGATAGCTATTATGACTATTAATTATGTTTTTTTGCTAGATCTAGTATTTTTTATTATAGATTTCATAAACTGCTTGAGAAGGGGTAGGAATATGGGTAATGTCATTTATGATGCTAGGATGAGATATTAAATAAATCGTATTTTTCATAATCTCATCCAAAAGACATGAACAGGTATGAATACATTTAGCATCTACTTAATTTCTAAATTCACAGGACTGAATTCTTTGAAATTAAAAATTTACAAATTTAGCTCAAGCCTGTAATCCTAGCTAATCTACTTGGGAAGCTGGGATGGGGAGAGGACTAGGAAATTGAGGTTCGAGGCCAGCCCCAGGAAAAAAAAAAAATGCTTATGAGACCTCATTTCAAGGGAAAAAGCTGTGCATAATGGCATGTGCCTATCATCCCAGCTATGTGGGAGGCTGAGATTAAAAGGTTCTCAGTTCCAGGTCAGCCCAGGCAAAAAAACATGCAAGACTCCATCTCAATGGAAAAAACTGGACGTGCTGGTGAGTGCTTGTCATATCTCAGTTGTGACAGGAAGGGTAAAGTAGGGGGATCATGGTCCACACCAGCCCAGACAAAAAACGAGACCCTATCTCAAAAATAACCAACACAAAGAGGGCTGGAGACATGACTCAAGTGGTAGAATACTTGCCTGGCAAGCATAAAGCCCTGAGTTCAAATAAACAAAAAAACAAAGAGATAATTTTTTTTTTAAATCCTGCTTTAAAGAATAAAAAATATCCAGAAATAGCAGCAGTTATTGTTTACTGAGGGTCTACTACATGTCAGGAACAATGCTAGATCCTTCACATATCACGCTTATTTTCAAAAGAACCTTTGTTTAGCTGCACTTTATACATAAGGAAATGAAGGTTCAGAGGGACGAACTACTTTATGCCAGTTAATGCTTGTTAAGTACCAAAGATGGGATCTACATTCAGGTCCCTCTGAACTAAGATCTCTGTGCTAGACAAGATATCCTATTCTCACAACTTCCACACTTCTTTTGTAGTCCATAAAAGTCCTGCTAATTAAGAACTTGCAGAGAGAACGCACAGATGAATAAAGATTTTTAGGGGGTGGGGGCACGGGGGAGAAATGACCCAAGTGTTGTATGCACATATGAATAATAAAACAATAAAAAAAAGAAAGATTTTTAATGAAAGGGCTTATTATCCTGCCCTTTTAACTTTTCTCATCCTCAGACACTCTCTCCTATGATATTTATGTCAAAGATCCCATGTTTATTTGAAATAAATGACCCAATTTTACCTTTAGGTTAAATACAGTAATTATACATAAACTATAAGTAATAAGATTACACATAAAACTATAATTAAAAGACCATTCCAGAGCCCATTCTAATATCAGAAAACATTCTACAGAGAAGGTCAAATCTGATTTGTTTATAATCACCAGAATGTATGATCCATAAGTCTAAAGATTCTGTCTGGCTCTGTGCTATAACTCCAAGCCTAGGAACACAGCAGCACTTGGTAAGTATTTGCTGAATGAATGAATCTGGTTACTATGTTTGTCATTCCCTTAAAATCACAGTCAGTCAATGGACAAGGAACTACTGCTGTAGATTCGTTTTATATGGTAATTAATATTCCAGCAGAAGTTTCACACATTTCAATGATGCCCCTTCCCCCCAGATACAGACTCAATCTCAAATCCAACTGAGTGCTGAGGAAATGGCTGTCTGGAAGGTGAATCACAGTGACTCTTACCTGCAGCTCAGACTTGAGCTGATGTATCTGACCCATCAGCTTCTGTATTTCCTCTCTTTGCATTTCCTTCTCATGCCGAAGTTCTTCTAGCTCCATACTGTTAGCAGTACTGCTGTCTAGGCCTTCAAAACCAGAGCCTTCCTTTAAGCTGTTAATCAATTTTTCTTTAGACTATTATGAAACAAAGAAGTATATTTAAACAAAGCAAATTTTAGTTGTATATTTGTTTTTTTTTTTGATGGTGCTGGGGATCAAACTCAGGGCCTCATGCATGGTAAGCATACTTTCTACCAATGAGTTATATCCCCAACTAGTCTGTATAGTGAGTATCATCCCATCATACAGAAACTAGTATGGTCTATGGCCATACCACCTAAATGTGCCTGATCTCATCTGATCTCAGAAACTAGCCCATCATGGAAACATTCCAATTCTATCTACATCAAAGCAAGTCCACAGATTAGTAAAACCATAGGGATAAATAGATCCTGCTGTACAAAGTTGCTGTATTTTAGTTCTACCATTATGTTATAGTTGAAAACTTCTCAGAAGCAAGATTTTCTGTTTCTTCTGCTTCTTTTCCTATCACATTCTATTCAACAAATACTTATGGAGCACCTGCAATGGGTTTGGCATTGTGCGAAGTGCTCTGCATAATAAAGACAACATCTCTCACTCAAGAAAGTACCTTCTGCTCATAAACTAGAAGAGAAGTTACAAGTATCCACCAGACAGCAATAAGCTCAAGTTGCAGGACAGATATAGTCAGAGTTCTAAGCAGGGAAAACCACTTCTGGGAAAAAAAAAAGATTTCACTTGAAAGGTAGCATTTATGCTGGCCTTGAAATATGGCTAGGATTTAAAAAAGTACAGAGAAAACCCAGGGCAAAGCAGAGGCTGTATAAGAAAGTGACAAGAGATGCACTAAGATAGTATGTTTACACAGTATGCCGGGTTCTACATGGTGGGCTAAAATATTTTTATTTTCCTTGGTAGGCTAAAACAAAGTATCAAAAGCTGGATAGGAGGGTGATCTGACCAGAGATGCATTTCAGGAGGATTAATCTAGCAGTGCTGTGAAGCATGAGTTCATGAACTATGGTCCATGGGCCAAATGGACTGAGGTCTGATTCTGTACAGCCCATGAGCTAAAAGTATTTTTTACATTTTTAAAGGCATTCACAAAAGGCACTGTAAAAAGTAAAAACAAAGCACATGTGATTGAGTCTTCATGTAACCTACAATATTTACCACCTGGCCCTTTACAAAGAAAGCCTATGATCCCCTGGCATGGAAGGTGAGTCAGAAGAAAGCTGACTTGCAAAAGTCAGTTTATAAATTCCAATTCTAGACCAGTACTAAATAACAAGGACTAACAGCTTTCATCTTAAGTATAAATATTTTAAAATAACTCTCTTCCACCAAAAAAAGTCCTCCTTTTCTAAGTGGTTTCCAAATCCTTCTTCAAACTTTAATGGATTTTTTCGAACATGATAATTTACATAATTTTGTTTTTTCTTAACTCACAAAACTCCTAACCCTCAAATTCCCATCTAGCTACTGTCCTTTCATCATGTCTACCATGATCAAGCTGTCACTGTCTCCATGTCTTCACCTCCCAACGTACCTTGGATCTCTCCTTGTGAGATTCCCAGGCATGGCTCAGTGCCAAAACCAAGAATTCTGCCTGGTCCTTATCACATCACAGTAGCTGCATTATCTGTCCATAATTCCCCACTGGGAACTCCTCTGCTGGCCTGGCTTCCTTGGATGGTAGGGTGGCCGGTGTTCTCTTCCTAGTTCTCTGTAAACTGACCACTCCCCTTCTCAGGATTTTTCTTTTGCAGGCTCCTTTCCTTTGTACAATTTGTAAATGCTAATGTTTAATAAGACTGTGCATTTAACCCTTAGCTCTTCTCCCCTCTTACTTACATTCCCAACTCACCTGCTCTCTCCCATGGCTAGTACCCACACCTCTCTGCCGGGTTGTATTTCTGATTACCCACCTGACACTTTCATCTCAACATCACATCAACTTCGCAACTTCACAATAGTTTGTCATAACTTCCTTCTTTCCTAACCTGCTGTCACTCCTCTCTTTCCCTTTTATAGTATGAGGAAACAACAATCACCTGGACAAACCAATCATCCTAGATTCCATTTGCCTTTCCCTCCATCCTTCCAATTAAGTCTCCAAGTCTCATATATTCTATCTTCAAAGACATAATGGCTGTCCTGCTTGCCATCCTTATTGCCACAAACTTGGATCAGGTCCTCCTTATTTCTTACTCACCTCTTTATCTTTACCTGCCTCTGCTCTCACCATTTCATCCCTATCCCTTCAATGCTTCCAATGACTTCTTGAGTATCAGGCACTGTGCTGGGATACAGGATGAATAAGATGGATGTCCAGCATTTGCCCAACCTCTTCATTGATGCCATAGTTCTTACACTCAAATCTGATATGCTGCTTAAATTCTTTAATACCCTTCCCCCCATCACCTACAGGATAAAACCCAAATTCCTTTGCATAGGATACACTGCTCTCCACAATCTGGTTCCAGCCAGTCACTGGGTTTTTATCTCCCATCTCTTAATCTCTAGCACTGCATGCTGGGGCATGAGCTCCCCCCAGAACAGCATGTTCTCTCAGGCTCCCTAGCTCTGGCACAGGCTGTTCTATCTGAAATCTCTTCCATAGCATGACTCTTCCTACTCATCCTTCAACTTTCTTCTTATACAATATCTCCTCAGCGCATCCCTCAGTGATCTGTTACACCCCTAGGCATATTTTTTTCAAGGACTTTTGCTCTCAAGCGCCCTCTGTCCTGCACCAGTAACTTTATTCTACAAATTGCTTAGGTTTCTTTCCACGGAAAAATGCTCCCCTAAAATGACCCTGTGAGGTTTTTTAAGCGACTATGTAAGTTTAAGCTTTATTTCCAGAAGACAAAATATTTATTAGTGGAAGAGAATGAAGAAGTTGGTTTGGGGACTGAGACACCCCTACTCCTTGCCTGTAGAGCAGGCAGTTAAAAACTAAGGTCAGGAGGTTAGGGTTACAGATATGCTTGAAGTCCTATGGAGTTCTCAGTTACTACATGGATAAACCAGTTACTACATGGATAAACAAAACTGTGTTATAGCCATACAAGGAAATCTTATTCCACCACAAAGAGCAATGAAGTGCTGATACATGCTACGTGCATAAATACCTGGATTGACCCTGGAAACATAAAGAAGACAGACACAAAAGGCCACATATTATATGATCCCATTTATATGTAAATTCATGGAGAAATAAAGGAGAAACACAAAATGAATCATTTCACAGTCCCCACAAGGAGTGCCACTGTCTCTCAGATAATGGCACATCTTAACATTCAGAAGTGTCTATGTTATGCTTACTTGGAGTATTCTAGTAGCTTTTTGCTTGTAGTCAAGTAACTCCTGCTTAGACGATTCCAAATTCGACTTGTGTAACTTGACTAGCTGCTGTAGCTCATCAACTCTCTTCTTCTCATCAGAGTATTTTCTTTCTGCCGCCGTAACTGCTTCTGCCAAATTCTGACGTTCTAGTTCCATTTTATTAAGGCGTGCGGCAAACTCACTCTGTGATAAATTTCCACATCATACATGTAGCTTTGAGGTGTATTTTACAACCACTCATTCAGACATCTTATGGGATTTATTACATCAAACCAACAACATAATGAGGGAAAAGTTATTTTTTTAGGAGCTAACAAATAAAAAAATCTAAAGTTGGGGCTCCAAAACATGGCAACATATCAAACTTAATGAGGTAGTTTGTTGAAAATGCAGCTACCCAAGGACTTTTCCAGGATTACTCAATTGCAATTTCCAAGACTGGGCTTGGGAATGTTTTTTTAAAGAAATTTTCCAGATAAATCTTTATTTCACCATAAATTTACTTATTCTGGATATTTCATGTAAATGGAAACATGTAATACATAGCAAGTATTCCTAAATAAAATTTAGTGATGGAATTGAAATATGAATATCATCATTTAAAGAATGAACATGTAAAAAAATAATGTAAAATATCTCACTATTAATTCTTAATACTGAGATGCTGAGATAAACTGGTTTAATACCCCTTTTCTAAAATACCTGGGATGTTTCAGATTTTGGACTTTTTTGGGTTTTGAAATATTTGCATCTATATATTGAGATATTATGGGGGAGGGGACTCAAGTCTAAACATGAAATTCACTTATGTTTCATATACATCGTATACACGTAGCTTGGAGGTAGTTTTACATAATATTTTAAATAATTTTGCGCATAAAATGGTTTCACAGTACAGAATTTTCCACTTGTGGTATCGTGTTCAAAAAGTTTTGGATGTTAGAGCATTTCAGATTTAGGGTTGCACAACTGTACTTCAGATATACTAAATACAATGTTATTAAAATAAAAATTTTAAAAAACCACATTACTTGATATTTACTTTCAGGGCTGAACTATTTTCACCTGTTGATAGAGAAGCTAGACCAGTGGTTCACAGCCCTGGCCGCCCACTGGACACACCTATGAATCTTGTAAAAGCAAGTTACCAATGCCTGGGCCCTGCCTCAGACAGCAGAATCAAATTTTCTGGGAATGGGGACTTGGGCATCAGAAGTATTATACAGGTAACTATAAGGTGCAGGCAGGACTGAGATTGAACTAGACATAAAAATTCTTAAGAGTAAAATACTAAATATCATACAATTTTCTCTTAAAAGAAATGAATCAGATTAAGCTAGAATTAGAAAAACCTTAAACAAAGAGAACAGACAAGATGTCCCATGCTAGCATATACTCAAATAATGGTAATTGCTATTACACAATCAAATTCAGTATAAGATGTGTACTTCTAATATCAGCTATTTAAAATATGTTTCACACATAAAATGAAGTAAATTTAGCAAGGGTCAAACTAATTTTTCAAGTACCTGGGTTTCTGTCACAGAAAGAAAATTTTCTGAAACACTGCAGTATTTTACTAAAGAATGTGTTATGAAGAAGCACAAAGTCTTTCCTCCTTGCCATATATCAACACAACACTCTTATCACCCCTTCTAACCTGCATTTGTTTGTAGCTCTCTTGCTCTCTCTTCAGAGTGGCATCTGCTTCATGCAGTCTCTCCTGAAGAGTTTGCAGAGCTTGATTCTGTAGACTACTACCTTCATTGTGGTCCTGCATTATTCTAAAATACAATGCATCATGTGAAATAATACAGTTCCACAGGATACAGTGACAAGATGGAATAATTTCTGTGAGTTAGTCAAGCACAAAAAAGGCAGTTCATCTAAAACATTCTTAGAGAAATATTTTTCATTTCATTTCATGTAATCTATACTTGTAGGCTTCCAAATAAAGTACATATCATTAATTGAAAGATTAATGACACTATGCTCTTCAAATACTTTTAAATTCAGATTTGCTAAAAATGCATTTTGAGGTTCAAATGATGAATCCATTTTAATTACATACATTTCCAACCAAATAAATTTTCCCTCTTGTAAATTTCCAAAAAGCTAACTTTTCCTAAGTGAGGACACACTACAATGTTTACCATTACTTACACTGGAAAGAGAGAATCTAGCTCATGTTTTTCACCATTAATAGAATTACCTACCGAGACTTTTCACTCTGTAAGGCTTCCAGAGCTTCTGTGCGTGTGCTCAGCAGTTGGTCAGCCTCCTGGAGTCTCACTTTCAGTACAGCCAGCTGGGAATCCTTTGCAGCAACTGCTTCAGTCAGGTCATCAACTTGGGCTCGGAGTTCTCGAGTTATTCGATCACTTTTTGAATGGTCAATATTCCATTTTTCAACTCTTGCTCTTGCTTTGTTTAATTCTATAAAAAAATAAAACTTCTCTATTCAAGGAAAACCAAACACATCTTTCTCATGCACACATACATAAGAAAGTTACTTTAGTACCTTAGCTACTGCCAAAATAAGGAGCTTACAAATACCTTCAGCTTTTTTGTCCCAAACAGGACACCCACTTTTCAAGATCAACAGTCACACCAATATTAAATTTAGCAGACTAGAAAGTGGCATGAAACTACTATCATAAAGGAATTGGGAGACAAAACTAGGAGAAAGCAGTGTTAACACTAAAAATCTTCAGTGAATTTTCTGAATTTGGCTAGAAATAGGTGAGGGAATAGAAATCCACATCAAAGGTACACTCTAGGAAGAACAAAACAAAATAAGACCTAAAGACAAAACAGGAAAGAATCTGGTTCACTTAATTACTGTTGCAAAAGATGTTCTTTTCACCTAGGAAAGTGGAGCAAAAAGAGAAATATAGTGCTCCATTTCAGAACAAAAAGATATTTCCACACCCTCATACACCATCTGCAATTAGTTTGCCACCACAGAAAAAAAGGAAACTTCTTTAATACTGCAGCCAACTTTACAGAATCCAGGAAAAGCTTTATTTCTATGCCTACATTAGTCTAGGCAAAGTGAAGTTTGGTTTTTTTTTTTTTTTCCTAAAGTCATGGTTTTTTGAGACAGGGTCTTGCTATGTAGCCCAGACTGGCCTCAAACTCAAAATCTTCCTGCCTTGGCCTCTTGAGTGCTGGGATTACAAGTGTGTACCACCATACCTAGCTTAAAATCATTCTTAGGCAATGGTCCTATTCTGCTCTGCTGGATCTTCTTCCGTATCTGGGCAAAACTTTTTGCGCACTGTGCCCTTACTCTTCTCTCAGCCCCAGAAATCAAGGCAGCCATTTCCTCTCTTTAAGTTTCTCATCACCCACACTTACAACATTCACCCCTTCCATGTCACTACCTCAGTCATGAGATTATTTCCTTGTTATTTAATCCTTTCTGAGGAATTTCAGGTCACCTCACTGCACAATCCCCAGAGCACTATTCAAATTGAGTTCCATACTTATTTAAGCCCTGGAGCAAACAATATTATGACCCTGCTTACTAGTGTCTACTACTTTACTTAATCCCATCTTTTATTCAGGAACAGTTTCCCCTGAAAGTTCAGAATAAATAAACCAAAGGAACAAGACAACTATTAATGTCTGGCCCCTGTTAGTTCTTAAAGTCAGTGTTCGTAAAGAAAGACCAAACTAGTCAATATTCTATAGCTTGGATTGGTGGGAGGATGATTGGCCTAATTTCTAAAATTAGGCCTTATATTCTATGAAAATACCATTCTATAAGTCTTATCTAAACTATTTCTAATTCAATACAAAGCTTTTATTTTGAAAAGTAAAATTCCTAATTTTTGAAAGTTAAATTCCTAATCTTGAAAAACTGAAATAAAGCCCTACCTTCTTGAGTTTCTTTGGATCGTTGAAGTAATGAGGCCATTTCCTGGTTTAAAGACTGGACTTCATTCCTCAGCAGCTGATTCTCCAGTCGGAGATTAGACAGCTCATGTGACTGGTCGCCATCGCTAGGTGCTGAGCTGTGATCGGTGCAGGCAGCATTTGATGATGTGCTTTCCTTTGAGGAATCCTCATGGCTTTCAGGGTGAACATGTGAATTACTAGCAACTTCTGTAAAGAAAAAAAAAAGAGTACATTCTGTTTTATTGACATGGTCGCCGCACATGCATTAGCAGCATACTTTGGAAGGATACGTTTTGGTGAGCTGTTATAGCGAAAATGACAGAAAAATATCATGAACTTAAATTCTCAACAGATCTTCCACTTACAAAAATCCATTCTCACAAATGGAGTCTATAGACCTCCAATGATCCCAAAACTCTAGACACACTGAATGAACTGTTACAGAGAATGTAAGAGTACAGTACTGGGAAGAAGAAAAGCAGAGATAATTTATGTGGCCAGGTTTCAGTTTTTATGTCTCTGAAACAGTTTTCAAAAAACAGGAGAAGTCTCTAACATTGAAACTATCAAGGGTTGGGGGTGTGCTTCAAGTGGTAGACTGTTGCCTGGTAAGTGTGAGGTCTTGAGTTCAAACCCCAATACTGCCATATCAGGAAGGCACTAGAGAATAGCTACAGGTTTCAAGGCAAGGAGAGTAATAATAGGTCACAGTAATTTGTTATATACCAAACTGGAATCTAAGATGTTTTACAAAGTGCCTCATGAATTCACTCATCTTGTTTTTAATTTTGTATTAAATGTAATTCATATATTCTTTTTACTTACTTAAAAATTATGTGATTAAAAAATGAACTATAGCTGGACACTGGTAGCTGACACCTATAATTTCAGCTACTCAGAAGGTGGATATCAAGAGGATCATGGTATGAAGCCAGCACAGGCAAAAAGTTAGTGAGACTCCCATCTCAACAAATAGCTGAGCATTGTGGTCCAGGCCACCCTGGGTAAAAAGTAACACCCTGTGTCCAAAATAACCAGAGAAAAAGGACTCAAGTGGTAGAGTGCCTGCTTACCAAGTGCAAAGCTCTGAGTTTAAACCCTAGTACCTCCAAAAATAATGAAATTGACTAAAAAAGGGCAAAAAAGAACTCTTTACAAGGATATACACACAAATGGGTGGTGGTGGCTCATGCCTGCAATCCCATGAAAAAGTCCTCAATATCTCTAGTGATTAGGGAAATGCAAATTAAAATCACAATGACAGCTAGGCTGGTGATCCATGCCTATAATTCCAGCACATGGGAGGCTGAGGAAGAAAGACCATGAGTTTGTTCCAGGTCAGAGGAATAGCTATGAGCTGTTGAGTACCACAGCCAGATAACAGGTAACATGAGAGAGTATCATGATTTTAGCACGTTTGAAATGTCCAAAATAATAATATCTAGAAGGAATTTTTATAGCCTTCAATATTTACAGGAAGGAATAAAATTAATGAGGTACGCATCTATCTTCAGAGGCTATAAAAGTAGCAAAAATAAACCCAAAGAACTCAGAATTCAATAAAATAGTGAAGAAACATACTAGAGAGGATCAACATAACAGAAGTGGTTCCCTGGGAGATATAAACAATATTAGGTAGATAAATCTTAAAATGCACATGCTGAAACTCATTAGGCTGTATGCTTTATGCACATCTTATTGTATGACAATATACTTCTTTAAAGTTATTAAAAAAACCAGGCATTTGGCACAGTGTATAAGATCCATGGTAAGGGTTCTATATATGCCAGATATTGATATTCTTCACGCAGTATGTGTGATCAAAATTTGGTTTTGTAAGGTTAGCATCAATGCATTCATGTCTATGTTAAAGTTTCATTGGTGATACCTCTAATGTTTTCTGAAATAAAGTAATCTTCCCTAAATATATATGACATAGACAAATTTTTAAGAAATGAAAAGCCAACTGAGTCAACAGTTAAAATTTTTCATTATGAATGCCCCAGTCCCTGAGGGTTTTAATACTGAGTTCTAGCAAACATTCAGAGTAAAAATAATCTCAGTCTTAAGCTGACTAAGACAAGAAAAAAAAGGGAGAACCCTTTCTAATTCACTTTGTACGGCTAACATAACTGTAATACTAAAATCTAGTAATATTATAGCTCCATTTCACTTATAAAGTAAATGCAAAAATCCTAAACAGAGTATTAGCCAACAGAAAGTTAAATTTGGTTTTGTTTTTAAAGTCAATTTATTTGAATATTATATTGATATTAAAGAAGATAAATCATATATCGTCTCCATAGGTGGAGGAAAAAAACCCTGCTAAAATTCAACATTAAACTCAAACTACTTTACATGGGCATCTCCTTAACCTTAAATACCTATTAAAAAACCTAACATAAAATCAAGCTTAACCAGTCAAAAGTATTCCCGTTAAGATAAGAAATGGGACACAAAATAGATTGTCAAGTCTTAGTGTCAATGAAGTAAAGCCCCCCACCCCCCAAGAAAAAGATTTAATAAAAAAATAAAAGGGCTGCCAGGTACTAGTGGTTCACACCTGTAATTCTAGCTACTCAGGAGGTAGAGATCAGGAGGATCGTGGTTTGAAGCTAGCCTGGCCAAAGACTTTGCGCAACTCTATCTTGAAAAAAAACCTATCACTAAAAAAGGGCTGGTGGAGTGACTTGATGTGTAGGCCCTGAGTTCAAATCCCAGTACTGCAAAAAAAAAAAAAAAAAGGGGCTAACAAGAAAGTCTTAATCCACAGATGATACGACTGCATTGTTGAAAATCTAAATATATATACAGAAAAATATGAAGATAAGAGCACTATCCTCAAGAAATATGGCCCAGGAAGTCTGGGGAGGTACCAATAATTCATTTTTTATTAACTACACAAGTGATTGACAATGGTCTAGAGGAACAAATGGGCTTAAACATCATGCTATATTGGCCTTTCAAAAACAGCTCCCAACTTTCTTTGCTGCCTCATTTTCTTCAGCACTGTACATCTCACACTTACTGTTTCCAGAGTTTCTTATACATTTTTCTACTCTATTAACTCTTTATATATAATCTTTTCTCCCTGCTTGGAGAAAAAAAAAGTCTCCAACTTTTTTTTTTTAAGCTGGCAAACTCCTATTCATGCTTAAAGACCCACTTCAAAATAGAGACTCTCTTTGAATCCTTTTAATACCTTAGGCAATTAGTTACTTCCTCCTCAGCTTCCACAACACTTACAAACATTTTGACTATTTCACTTACTACACTATGTATGTAAATTACTTGTTGACATCTCTATCTTATCCACTGGACACTTTTTTAACCTTGCACCCAGTAGATTCTCAGCAAATGTTTGTGTAATTAACCAAAAGAAAGTTGAGAGCATATGAGTATGATCAGTCAACCGCAAGTATATGTGCCTTTTTCAAAAACCTCAAGCCCATGCCCCTCTACAGTTACCTTGAAGATATACACTTTACTAACCCACAACCAACGGGGAAGCTTTAACTTTTAAGACCGTGCTTCTATTTAACCATCAGCTCTATAAAGAATTCTCACAAAAATCTATCATGCTTACTGCTATTTTAAAATGCTTACTAGGGCCCACTTTACTATGTTAACTTCATTTTACCAGTGAGAAGATATACTTGTGAAGGTAACTTCACAGCTCATTAAGTAATTTAAAACCACAGTTCTGGGCTGGGGATGAAGTTCAGCTGGTAGAGCCCAGTGCCAGGCCCTAGCACTGAGAGGAAAAAAAAAAAAAAAAAGCAAACCAGCATTCTAAACTCTAATTCACTGCTAGGTCGATGCTCTCAACTCATCTTGAATCGTAATTCAGTCTTGGCCTTACTTCTAGAGGATGTAGGGAAAAAAATACACAAAAACCCACAACATATATGAGGTACAACTTCCTATCATTTTATAATCTCCTCTTATCTTAAATTTCTTAGATGCTGCGTTTGGTAAAGGTACTCAACAGACAACATTCAAAGGTCTCTACTGTAACTCCACATTAACTATGGCATCCATCCTCCCTCACCCTCGTTTACACCACATATTGATAACGAGCCTGCTCTTTTACCAGCAGGAACAGATACTGAAATAGTGGATGAGAAATGCTACCAAAACATTTTAACCTACGACGACATATTCAATTTGCTTCATCCAAAAAGAAACAGCACTGATTAACTACCATGGCTTTGGCTGGCAGAATTTTCTTCACTGGCCTTGGTGGTGGTTGCACTGGTATTCACAGAACTGACACTTGGTGTCTGAGCATTTGGAATGGCAGGCGCCTTGCCCTTATCTTTCTTGATTTCCACCCTCCCAGTGGGCTCCTTCTGAGAACTATTAAGAAAATCAAATAGCAGCTCATCATCAGGTTCTGACTTTTTCCTTCGCACAAACTGGGATGAAGGCCTAGGAGCAGATGCACTTTCAACAGGATGGGAGGCCTCTGCAAGCGGTCTGTATTTCACATTTGCAGTGCCAGCAAGGATGGTGGCTTTTTGGTTCCGAATGCTATCAGCTTCTGAAGAAATGTAAGAGTCTTCAGGCCCAGTCTGGTAGGTCGAATCTGTATTTTGCTGAAGTCCAGCATAGTCAGTGCTCTTGCTATAGATGGTGTTGCTAGTGTTCTCCTTTCTACTGAGAGCTGTTGCAGCCCCTTGATCAACTCGATTTAAAAGATCTTCTGCTCTTCCAGCAAGATCAGCAAACCAAGACATGACGGTAGCAGCACAACCTATTGAGGAACCTGTAAAAAGGACATGAAAAGATGAGTGGGACTTAACAACAGCAGTGTAACAGCTAAGGCTAGGCTCTATGGGGAGACAATCCTGTGTTGAAATCCTAAGCCTGCATCTTATTGGCCAGGCAATCTTGAGCAAACTAACAACTGAGGCTGAGAAAACTTATCTAGAAAATGGGGATTTTTTTTTTTTTTTGAGACAGGGTTTTAGTAAGTTGTCCAGGATGGCCTTGAACTCCTAGGCACAACTGATATTCCTGTCTCAGCCTCCTAAGTACTTGGCACTATAGGAGCATGCTACCACGTTCAGCTCAAAATGATTTTAAGATGAAATACATAAAAAACACCTTGCAAAATGCTTGGCATATAGTAAGCATTCGTTTTAGTAGTGACTACTACCATTATTACAACTTCCACAACTATTTTCCTTATAATTTTAATGAAGGACAAATCTTAACGTAGCAAAAGCATCTGTTCTGGGCTGAGTTGTATCCCCTCCCACCACCACCATGTTCATATACTGACATCCAAACTCCTAGACCTCAGAATGTGGCTGATTTTGGAGAGGCAATTAAAATGAGTCATTATGGTGAGCCCTAATCCAATAAACTGGTGTTTTAATAAGAGGAAATTTGGATACAAATAGACATACAGAGAAGAGAGACCACGTGAAGACACAGAGAGAAGATGCCATCTGCAAGCCAAAAAGAGAAGTCTCAGAAGAAACTAACCCTGCCAACACTTTGATGTTGGACTTTAGAACTGCGAGAAAATAAATTTCCATTGTCCAAGCCACCCAGTCTGTGACACTTTGTTATGGCAGCCTTAGCAAATTAATACGTATCCAAATAGCAAATGACACATAGCAAAATTCCAGTACAACCAAATAAACACAATTTTCTGAAGCTTATTTCAAAGCACTAAAACTTGGAAAAAAAAACCTGATTAATACAAAGCTATCAATGTTATACTGAAACACTATCATGGATAATTTAGGTGTGCATACATAGTATGTCTAAAGCGCACTTTCAATAATTCAAATATTTAGTACCTACCAGGTGTACATCAAGCTAAGTTTAGAATAAAAAGTTCAATTTTGGGCTGGAGCAGTGGTTCAAGCAGTAAGAGCACCTGCTTTTCAAGTGTGAGGCCTTGAGTTCAAACTCCAGTGCCGCAAAAAAAAAAAAAAAAAAAAAAAAAAGGCTGACTGCATAACCACCCATTCAACACATGCACATATACTTACTTATATATCAAGTGTGTCACGGAAGATGAAGGTAATGATGAAGTAATTAACCCTCATGATATAGAAAAGAAAAAGCATTATTAAAAAGCCAACAACCATTTCTTGGATGTGTTCAACACCTTTGTCCAGAACTCTTTTACAGTTAACTCTTACTCTTGCTCTTTATTTAAATGGCATTTGCTTCAGAGTTCTCTTTCCTTCCACCTAAATTAGGTCATAACATTCTGTTCCTACTCTTCCTTTTGCCTCACAGCCCTTCATATTTTATAATTATGTGTTGTTTTTTAAACCATCTGTCTCTCCTTTTGGGGGAAGGGAGAGCAGTCAGATAAACACTATGTCTGTTTTGCTCACCAATGAATTTCTAGCCTCTAGCACACACACAGACATTCATAAAATTACTGAATGGAATTAATTTTATGTGCCAGATGCTGTGCAAACAATACTACATGCAAATCTTTTACAATCATATTATGTAACATGCAGCAACATACTTTAAAAAACAGCAACAACAAAAAAATGTGGATAAGGTTTAGAAAGATCCCAGAGCTTAGATGGCACTTCAAATACTGAAATCTATGTCAGTCCAATGCCAAAATCAAAACCTACGTAACTTCCTTCGGAAGAAACTCACCCTTTAAACTGTTTTTTTTTTTTTTGTAAAATATATTACAAACCAGAGACCAGTGGTTCACAATTGTAATCCTAGCTACTAAGGATGCAGAGATCAGGAGGATCACAGCTCAAGGCCAGCCTGTGCAAACAGTTCCCAAGATCCCATCTCAAAAATATTCAATACAAAAAAGGGCTGGTGGAGTGGCTCAAGCAGGAGAGCGCCTGCCTAGCAAGTCTGAGGCCGAGTTCAAACCCCAGTACTACCAAAGACATACATATATGCATTACATAGCCAGGTGCTAGTGGCTCATGCTTGTAATCCTAGCTACTTGGGAGACAGATCTGGAGGATCATGTTCAAGACCAGTCCAGGGAAATAATTAGCAGACCCCGCCCCCCCCATCTCCAAAATAACCAGAAAAAAATGAACAGCAGGTATGGTTCAAACAGTAGAGAGAGCGCCTGCTCAAAGTTCTAAGTTCAAAACCCTGCCCCGCCAAAACAAGTGAATAAAATAAAATGTATCACAGTTGTGTATTTCAGAGTTTATGTGAAATCAAATGAAAGTCCAGGCAAAACACTTTGACTTAGTAAACTCTATGCAGGTGTAAAGTATTATTCTTAAGTAAACATTGCTGGATTCTGGAGGCAAATTGCTTCTCCTCATTAAAAAAAAAAAAAAAGACCAATTTTTGGCAGTACTTTACGGTTTGAACTCAGGGCCCTGAGCTCGCTAGGCAAGCGTTCTACCCTTGAGCCACGCCCCCAGTCCTTTTTGTGCTTTAGTCATTTTTCACGTAGAGTCTCCAAGTTTTGGGCAGGGGAGTCCTTGGACCTTGATCCTCCTACCTATGCCTCCCAGATAGCTAAGATGACAGGAATGGCTGGTTTTTTTTGATGGGGGAGAGAGGGGTCCTCACGAACTTTTTGCCTGCTCCTCTTGATTTTTGCTTCCCGAGTAGCTGGGATTACAGCTGTGCCCCACCACGCCCGGCCCCAATGATACATTGGTTCCTCCTATCTTGTCTCCTACTTTAAAGTTAGTAGGGCTTTAAAACACCACAGTGCACCTTGACATTGACTACCTAATAAAATAAAGCCCTCAGTGATTGTTCTGGAACAGGTGGGCGAGCACGGGCAGGACCTGCCCCAAAGGCCAGAGGAGGAGGAGACGCCGGCGGTCAGTCAGCCAGGCCCAAGGGAGTCTGTCAACCGTGGATGCAAGATAGGCGAGGAGAGACCCCCAGTGCGCCCCCACCCACCTCTTGCAAGCCTCTGGAGCGGGAAGCGAGGCTAGACTAGGCAGCAGTCGGGGACAGAGCAGGAACCGCCATGTGAAGCCTAAGGGGCCTCCCGCGTCGCCTTCCTCAGTCCCCAACCGAGTAAAGACTGGCCGGTCGGGAAAGGCGAAGAGACCAGTCTCGGCTGAGGCCGGCACCCCGCTCCTAGGGCCGTAAAAGTCTAGGTAGACCTGTCCCGTCCCCTGGCTCTCGCCGCCCTCACCTGAGGACTCCTAACAGCTGCACCGTGGCCACGTCGCCCTCCTGGGCCGGGCCCCCTCAGCAGCCAGCCCAGAGAGGGCCCGGGCTCAGTAAGCCTGCTCCAGGACCTGCCGTAGCCGGACTACCTCTTCCGGGAGACGTGGAAGGGCGGCGAGGACCCCAAAACAGAGTGGCCCTTGAGCTGCCTGAGCAGCAGGGAAGCCCAGAGCCGCCAGACAACGACAGGCGATTCAGGCGGCGGCGCCGACGGCTGCGGGGGGCCTCGCGCCTGGCCACGCCCCCTTACGCCTACAGCGAACCCGGGAGGAGGACAGCGCCTGCGTGCGTGTGACGTGGCTTGCCTCCAGCGTACGACAGCTTGCACGCGGCCCGCACAACATTGGAGGCCACGCCTATAGGAGGGCGTGGCTCAGAGCCGGCCACGTGGGCAATAGAGGCTGTGCCCGCAGTGAGGCGGGGTGTGAGACTGCTGGATCTGCCTCGTTTTACCTTTGCACCTTGCATCCTCAGTTCCCCATGGTTTTAAGGATGAAGATGCTGAGGCCCACAGCAGAGGATGGGGATACAGAAAACATGATCCCTGAATTAATGAAGCTTACTTTCAAGGAACAGAGCGATAGTACGTAAACGAATGAACAAGACAGTTTCAGGGCCAGAACTGTAAAGGCAAGAAGACAGGGAGAAGTGACTTGTGGTGGGGAACTACATTAAGTGTCAGGGACGGTCTCTGCCAAGGAGATACCTGAGCTGAGATCTGCAGGATGGATAAGGCCAGCAAAAGGCTCTCCAGACAGCTTTGTAGTTGTGTTCTGCATACGGTGCATAGAATGTTTGAAGTTAGTGTAATATATATCTTCAGTAACTCACCAATTACTCATCACCTACAATGTGAAGAGGTTTGGGCTAATTTGACCCTAGTAACAAATTTACATCATAGTCCCCAGTATTTGCATTTTGAGGTCAAGGAAAGTAAGGCTTAAAGAAACTAAGTAGCTTATCTAAGATCATCTGCACTACTAAGGGGTCCACATTACTCCAAAACCTGTGCTTCAAGGACTGGGGATGTGGCTCACATGATAGAGCACTTGCTTAGCATGCATGAGGCCCTGGGTTCAATTCCCATTACCAGAGAAACAAAACAAAATAAACCAACAAGCAAGCAAACAAAACCTGTGCTCCATAGACTCAATGTTTTATTGTCTCCAAATTAAATATTAGCAGTAATTACAACTCCTCCTTTTCTTCCTCCTAAGTCAGGTTTAGCCTGGTCCAGCAAAGAGGAAAACTTCCAGCAGCACCAAATGGTAATAATAATAATGGCATCTAACATGTATGGAGCCCTTTTTAAGTGCCAAATACTCATTTGAGCATCAGATGTGCTTCATTTAATTCTTGCAACCACCTTATTGAAGGTGATGTTATTATTCTGTAGTAGGTGGTATTGTTATTCCCAGGTATTAAATTGCTCTTCCTGTCAAGAATTACTTGTCACCACTGGTTGTCACTTGACTACATATGCATCCCAGAGGAGTAGCTTTTCCACCTTCAAAGATGCCTTACTTGATCAGACGACATGTCTTTGGCCAATGGAAGGTAAGCAGAAATGTCTTTTTTCTACATCTAAGAAGACAGCTGTGATGTATTTCCACTTGCTCTCCTGGACTTTTTCCTCTCTCATGAGAATACATGTCCCAAGTGGGGCTGCTTCCTCAGCCTGGATCCTGAAAGGAAAAAGATGTGGAACAGCCCACATCCAGCATGTCAGACTGGTGACAAATAGACCTTTGCTGTTACAAGCCACCAAGATGTAGGGCTGTTTTTTCCACAGCCCTACATAATGAAACCTGACTCATAGATCCCCCATTTTACAGAAGAACACACTGAAATTCAGTGACATTTAGTTATTTGCCCATGGCCGCACAGGGAGTAAGTAGAACATCTGGAATTCCGACCTAGGTCAGTGTGACTCCAGAAGCACTTTCTTTGCCAGTGAAGGGGTGAAAATGGAAAAAGTTGAGGCAAAGTCAAATCTGTCACATCAAAAAAATGGCAATGGACACACACACACACACACACACACATACACACACACACAAGAGTGTTTTAAGAGTTCCTACTTATACTGTCCCCCTTAGAGAGTCAGCATCTGGACACTGACCACACAGACGTCATTGGAGCCAGGCTGGCTTAGCCAGAGAAACAGCAAAATCAAAAGAAAGGCTACAACCTTGCCCCGTGCAAGGTCCTAATTGCCACCAGAGGTGCTGACTCCTAGAGAAGGAAGTGGTCGACTCTCCTGCTCCAGGAGATAAAGTTTTTTTTGTTGTTGTTTTTTCCTTTTTCTTTTATTATTCATATGTGCATACAAGGCTTGGTTCATTTCTCCTCCCTGCCCCCACCCCCTCCCTTACCACCCACTCCGCCCCCTCCCTCTCCCCGCCCTCAATACCCAGCAGAAACTATTTTGCCCTTATTTCTAATTTTGTTGTAGAGAGAGTATAAGCAATAATAGGAAGGAACAAGGGTTTTTGCTGGTTGAGATAAGGATAGCTATACAGGGCATTGACTCACATTGATTTCCTGTGCGTGGGTGTTACCTTCTAGGTTAATTCTTTTTGATCTAACCTTTTCTCTAGTACCTGTTCCCCTTTTCCTATTGGCCTCAGTTGCTTTTAAGGTATCTGCTTTAGTTTCTCTGCATTAAGGGCAACAAATGCTAGCTAGTTTTTTAGGTGTCTTACCTATCCTCACCCCTTCCTTGTGTGCTCTCGCTTTTATCACGTGCTCATAGTCCAATCTCCTTGTTGTGTTTGCCCTTGATCTAATGTCCACATATGAGGGAGAACATATGATTTTTAGTCTTTTGGGCCAGGCTAACCTCACTCAGAATGATGTTCTCCAATTCCATCCATTTACCAGAGAATGGTAACATTTCGTTCTTCTTCATGGCTGCATAAAATTCCATTGTGTATAGATACCACATTTTCTTAATCCATTCGTCAGTGGTGGGGCATCTTGGCTGTTTCCATAACTTAGCTATTGTGAATAGTGCCGCAATAAACATGGGTGTGCAGGCGCCTCTGGAGTAACCTGTGTCACAGTCTTTTGGGTATATCCCCAAGAGTGGTATTGCTGGATCAAATGGTAGATCAATGTCCAGCTTTTTAAGTAGCCTCCAAATTTTTTTCCAAAGTGGTTGTACTAGTCTACATTCCCACCAACAGTGTAAGAAGGTTCCTTTTTCCCCGCATCCTCGCCAACACCTGTTGTTAGTGGTGTTGCTGATGATGGCTATTCTAACAGGGGTGAGGTGGAATCTTAGTGTGGTTTTAATTTTCATTTCCTTTATTGCTAGAGATGGTGACCATTTTTTCATGTGTTTTCTGGCCATTTGAATTTCTTCTTTTGAGAAAGTTCTGTTTAGTTCACTTGCCCATTTCTTTATTGGTTCATTAGTTTTGGGAGAATTTAGTTTTTTAAGTTCCCTATATATTCTGGTTATCAGTCCTTTGTCTGATGTATAGTTGGCAAATATTTTCTCCCACTCTGTGGGTGTTCTCTTCAGTTTAGAGACCATTTCTTTTGATGAACAGAAGCTTTTTAGTTTTATGAAGTCCCATTTATCTATGCTATCTCTTAGTTGCTGTGCTGCTGGGGTTTCATTGAGAAAGTTCTTACCTATACCTACTAACTCCAGAGTATTTCCTACTCTTTCCTGTATCAACTTAAGAGTTTGGGGTCTGATATTAAGATCCTTGATCCATTTTGAGTTAATCTTGGTATAGGGTGATATACATGGATCTAGTTTCAGTTTTTTGCAGACTGCTAACCAGTTTTCCCAGCAGTTTTTGTTGAAGAGGCTGCTATTTCTCCATCGTATATTTTTAGCTCCTTTGTCAAAGACAAGTTGGTTATAGTTGTGTGGCTTCATATCTGGATCCTCTATTCTGTTCCACTGGTCTTCGTGTCTGTTTTTGTGCCAGTACCATGCTGTTTTTATTGTTATTGCTTTGGAATATAGTTTGAAGTCAGGTATTGTGATACCTCCTGCATTGTTCTTTTGAGGGAGATAAAGTTTTAAACAAACAGCTGCATTGTGATTTCCAGAATGGCAGAGTGAGGAGTTTGACAAATACTCTCCTTACAATTCAACTCCCTGGAAATTGACCACAGGTATGACACAAATTCAGAAGTGTTTATTTAAGAAAAACTACTAAACATTAGATAAGTGTCTGTGACATTTTACCTGAGACAATGCCCACGTTCTCTCTCTTAGCTCCACTGGAAAGAGTTCAGTCAGGGCTCGGTAAGATGTGAAAACTAGCATATTTGCCAGCTGGAAGGCGGTGACTTAATTAGTTGTGGAACCAGAAAGGTACTCGACCAAGGAGAAGGCCTAGCTGGGAATGCCAATGCCACAGCTGCCTGGGTTGTGATAATGCTCAGATAAACTGTGACCAGAAGGCATGTTGGGAGCTTGGGAGAGACATCCAGGTAATAAGATAGCCAGAGAGAGTTTTGATAAGCTGCGTGGTGGTCTAGGAGGCAGTGTGCAAGGCTGTGTAAGTTCAGGAGAGTCTGGCAAGGGTCCTAGTCACCTACTCATTTCTGACTATGAACCTTAGCACAGCTGCTATGAAATGTGGGACTTAGCATATTAAGACTTTAAAGCAATGATCATAAATATGTTCCAAGAGCTAAATGAAAGTATGACACCAATGGCTCACCAAATTTAAAAAAAAAAAAAAAAAAAGAGAGAGCTAGGAATTCTACCAATGGAAATTCTAGAGTTGAAAAGATATAATAAATAATCAATGAAAATTTCACTAGAATGACTCAACGCAAATTTGAGCTGGCAGAAGAAAGAATAATGAAACTTGAAGATCAATCCATACGATTTGTCCAATGAAGAGAAAGAAGGAGGAAAGAAAGTCTCAGAGACCTATGTGACATCATCAGGTATACCAACATATGTGTAATGGCAAATCCAGAAGGAGGAAAATATTTGAAGAAAAAAATTGGCTCCAAACTCCCCAAATTCAATAAAAACATTCATCTGTGCCGCCAAGAAGCCCAATGATCTCTAAGTAGGATACACTTAAAGAGACCCCCCACCTGTGTACATAACAAAGAGTAAATATTAAAGACTGCAAGAAAAGAATGGCTCATCACCCACAGGGAAACAGGAAGTGCTGACCACCTCAGAACCAATGGAAGACTGAAGGCAGT